TCCAGAACATCCGCAGGGACTTGAAGAGGCTTCAGGAGCAGCTTCAGGATATATTCTTGAGAGGCTGGAGCTACCAGTGCTTTTCTATTGAAGACAGTGCACAAGTCTGTATATTGCATTGCTAACTGTGCAATTATTTATGCTTGTAGAAGGAATCCCTATTTGAACATCTCCAGCAAGTGTCCAGTTCCAGATCTTTGTATGGAAACTTTTGGAGTAACCAATGTTTTTAAACATGCCACTAGGTTATTACTACTAAAGAGTGTAACATTTTTTCTGATAGAGGGAAAGATTTGACTGCCATGTTTTTATTAAAAGCTGCCTTGATTTTGGTTTGGTAAGCTCTCCATCTCACTAGAAAATACCAAGTTTAAATCCCTTAAATTCAGCAAAAATAGCTTGTAAACTGGTAGTAGAATGGATATGGATATAAATGTAAGTGAAATTACTTGACTGAGAGGTGGGATGCACTGAAACTTCTAACGCTTCACGTACTAACATGGTCTTTCCAGCAATTTGTTGATTAGAGCTTAAGGCAAGTCTAGAACTCTTGGCTTAATCTGGAGTAGTCAGAACTTCTAGGTTTCTGGTTTGTCTTTCCAGGCTGACAAAAGAATGGATCAATAATGTAGATTACTAAAAATTAAAGTAACTTATTGCTGTGCCAGGAGTTGGGTTTTCTTTACATGCATACTGAATTTGTGGGAAAGTATCATGGTTTTGGATAAGCCTTGCTACCTCTGACTGTATGCAGAGCAAATAGCAAGCTAGTTTTGTCTTCTGTTGACATTATGTAGGCTCTGTGGACATGCTTTTAGTAACTATAGGCTTCCAAGTAAAATCTGTTATTCTTCAATCATGTAAATTACTAAGTCTTAAAGGCATTAGCAGTATCTTCTATCCATAAAGTATCATGATATGGAGGCAACCTGACGTGTCACAAGTCATTTTAAATCTTTGGAACAGTCATTTTATATGCCATTGCTAAAGAAAAAAAACCTTGCAGCTCTGGATTGGCCTGAAAAAAGTTAATTGAAATCTAAGTTTGTCATTCCTGATTCTCCCTGCTCCTAAACAAGGCTTCCTCTAGTATCTGAATTTCACAATAACTGGTATGTTGATTTTTCCAGTTTCCAAATGCAATTTTAACAAATACTGAGTGGATTGCTTGTTTGAGTAAAACAAAAAGGCACTTGAAGTAGTTGCAAACTCTTGGATGATTTACTATGAAGGATCTACTGCTTCTCTATGATACTGTTTAATAGATAAGGCAGTACTGTGAGAGATAAGTCCTATCACGAGCTAACATACTGAAAGTGCTAGTCAGCCATGAAAGTCATCATCAAAACCTGCAGCATTGCTATCAAGGATTTTTTTAACGTCTACAAAGCACTAGTGTTGTGTCTGGAGTGTAGTTCTGATTTGGTTGTTTCAAAAATGTTTTGCTGTTTGGGTTTCCATAACTGAGAATAATCAAAAAGCCCAGGAAAAAATAGAATAATGGAATGGTTTGGGTTGGAAGGGACCTTAAAGATCATCTAGTTTCAACCCCCCTTCATGGGCAGGCACAAATAGTTGTCCTCAGTCTATTTTTGTTTAAAGATAGATTGTTCCTACTTCAGAGTCTCCTACCTAATGCTGAATATTTGCATATTGGTGAATAGTGGGAATTGTTGGGCCTGCTTCTAAGGCTGTAGCAGGAAAATAGCTGAACTGCCCAAATCCCTAAGGTTTGCAGCTTTTCTATTTTGAGTTAACAGCTTACTATCAATAGATGCTCTATAAAAAACTAGCAGGAAATGGCATAGGGACATGTTGATTCATGTTCCTTGCAGGCTCATTATTGATTAGACACACATGGAGAGCAGCATCTGAAGATGGCTAGGTAGGGAAAACATCTTGGTAATGGGAGATTTTTTCTCTGGATAATGACTCTAGAAATACTTTTACTTTAGTATTTGGGGCAAAGGATATTCTGGTTTAGATATGGGCTGGAGATAATACCTATCATACATTTTCTTACAGCATTTAGAACTCTTCCATGCTTGTTCATGACAAAAATTTCTGTACTGATTCCAGGTTCCACGGACTTTGGAAATGTAACATTTGTAGTCCCTGGGCTTCATCCTTATTTTTATATTGGCTCTGATGCATTGAATCATACTGAGGAATACACAGAAGCTGCAGGTGGGTGGAAATGAAAAGGGTTAGCTTTATATTTGGAACCATTATGCGCTGTAGGGACCGGTTGCTTACTCTTCATTACAGCAAATCTAGAAGTTACAAATATTTCAAATTACAGAGGATTAAAGCTTTTACATGCTTCTGTGATAATCAAAGCTACAGGGTAGTAAATGTATATAAAAGCTTAAGTACTACATCTGGAAGTGGCTGCATATGAATGCCTATATAGAAAGGGAGTGACTTTCTTCAGGAATGGTGGGATCTGAGCTGTCCTGAAACAATGAACTTGGTTAATTGTAGAGTTGCAGAAAAAAGCTGATAAAACATCCATTTCTATTGTTGTGTTTAAAGTTAAAGGTATATGGGAAGTATACTAGAACAATTACTTAATATACCATCTTGATGGAAGAAATCAGAAGGATTATCACTAGCAGTATATTCAGAAGACTTCCTAAACATTAACTAAAAGATCAAAGTAATTTCACTCCTAAAGCACAGTACTCCAGAAATGTAACAGAGATAAAGGTATAAAAGTCTGCATTTTCTAAAAAGAAAAATGTTAACACTTCTTTCCTGTTTTCAGTCTCAGTTGTTCAGATCAGTAGCAGAAAGTTAAGTACTTGCAAGTGAATATTTGTCTTGAAGCTTCAGAAAATAGACATATTTCATTCAAGTTGATTTTTAAGAAACTCCTCTTGCCATTGAAACATAAAGATCTTTTACAGATATGCCTTCTGCACTAAGCTTGTGGTTTGCAGCTAATACATAATCATCTGACCTAAAGTGTGCTGGTTCTTTTTCTGCAGGGTCACAGGCTGCTCAGTTCTATGCTTTGCGCACAGCAAAAGCTTTGGCAATGACAGCCCTGGATGTCATTTTCAAGCCAAGTCTGCTGGAAGAAGTCAGGGAAGACTTCAGACAGGTGAAGCTAAAAGAAGAGGGGCAAATAAATCCAGTAGAATCTAACAAAGAGTCCAGTGTTGGCACAGGAGCATGTGCATCAGGCTAAACTTCATTAAATCTCTCTCAGTAGGATTGTCTTAATGGAGATGCTGGACTGAAATTCCAGAAGGGGCTGGATAAACATACAGCTGAAGAAACGCTTGTTTGGTTTTTTTTTACCAGGGGAGAAACAAGTAGAATAATTGCTTCTAAAAATGTGCAATTTAATCTAGCTGTAATGTTTGCTGCGTTCACTATGGTGATGAATTCCAGAGAAATATCTCAAATACGTTGTCTTTAAGTTGCAGTGCTGAATAAATGATAGTGTTTAGATCCCTTGTCAGTGATTTTCTATGTATTGCTGGAGTAATATTCCTTGTAGGGGAAATACAGCATTTAGATGGACATTTTTGTTCTAAAATAAGTACTGTTCACATGATTCATCACAGGCTGAATCTGATCTGTGAAACACTTCTTTCTGACCAGTCACTTTTTCTTGGGACAAGATGGAGACTTAAAACTTGAGCTGGAGAGAAAGCTGTATGTTTGGAAGCATGCCTGGTTTTGACAATAGCTGCTTCTAGCAATGGAAGCAGCTGTATGGAAATGTGATCTGTAAAGGTTGATTGTCCTGAAATGCATTGACCTTCCTCCTAATAAGTTTTGGCAGTGTTGTGGAGAAGTCATTGATCAAAAGTTCATAAAGCAACCAAATGTTTATTGGTGTAAATGAACACATTTGAGCTACTGCAGGAAAACGGTGTGCACCTTTTTCAAGTTCTGCTCTGAGGCAATACAGGTGCCAACACAAGGTGTTGCACTAGTTTAACTACTCCAAAGGATGTGTATGAAGTTAGCTAAACCAGTGGAAATCTTTTTCTCTGAGATGCAAGCATGATACCACGATGCAGTCAGTGAAGTAGCCATGAGCTGATTGTGTGCACACACCTGTGGTAAGCTCTGAGAAACTTGCATTGAGGATTGCTTGTGCAGTAATGGGCTTCTCAAAATTGTTCGTTCCCATATTCTAAGCAACACATTTGTTAATTCTTGCCAATTGTGCTTTGTGTTGCATGGTTAGTCTGTTTAATCCTTGTTATTTTGCTTCCCAAAGACATATTTTATCTCGGTGTTCTGTGTGTCCAAACCTGTTATGAATTTATTTTCATTTCCTTGATAAAGGCTCACATGAGTACAAAGAGAAGGAACTTCTATCTTTTGTTCAGATAGAAATTGCTGAGCCAATACAGGCTGAGTGAAAAAGCAGCTTACTGTTTTGCATTTTCCTAAGCCATAGGTATTGTAGGAAACTTCTGAAAAGAAGCCAGGCAAAGCCCTGTTCCCCAGCAAGTCCAAACACCCAAAATAATTTCAGAAACCTTGTGTTTAACAGCACCAATCTCTAAATGGTAAGCTCTAGAATTCTAACCAGAATTCACGTTTTATTAATTTCTATATTCAATTTCTAATTTTGGAAAAAACCCAGATTCCTTATCTTGGTATAACTGCACTCCCTCTGCATTTCTGTGCGCTATAAAACAGACCTCCAGCTGCTATTTAAGAATATTATTGAGACTTTTCCATCTAGGAAGGAAAAAAGTACAACTAGGCTGGCTGGCTTCTGTTTGTATCTCACGTGGACAGTAGAGACAACATAGTTTGGCAGTTTTCAGACTTTCTGATACTTTGGCCTCTGTGCTTGTAGTAACAGGGTGTGGAGTATCTGCTAATGTATTAAATGCTCAGTGTCTTTGGAAAAAGAAAGTAACTTTTCATCTGTTTCTGTAAAGTGAAGGCACAAAAATTAAAGGGTTTTGTTTTGTATTACAAGCCCGTTACAGTACAACAATCACAGTTATTCGAAATGTTGAGCATAACCTTCAGTATTCCAGGCTACAGGATGGTCTGTCCTTATACCAGTATCCTTGTTTTTGTTAGCAGACAGTTTTGACAGGTAAATGCATGAAACAGATGAGGATTGGACTCTGAGCTATAGGGATGTCAGGATAGTAAGTTAGATGTTTAACTGAAATTTGATCTGATATCTGTCAAAGAAACTTTCTGCTTAACTTTTAATTTAAACTCTGCCTTGCTTGTTCTCAGACATGATTAGAATTACTAAGTTCTACTGGGTTAATTAATAGTTTATTAATTTCCCCATCATAATTTCCTCCTGCATGAGCTGCTTAACTTCTAGTGTTGCTGGTTTTAAGATGTAGTTTTGGAATCCTGGTGATAGGAATATATGCTGCCTTGCTGTGTTTCCTACACACTGAAGTGCATTACAGCCTTCCAGGTTCTTTGTCCAGACTAGCTGGCTGTTGCCTGCATCTCGTCCAAGATCATTTAATTAAACATTTCTTCTCTAAAAGCACATCTTACTGTTGTTGCAATCGTTGCTGGAATCAAAGTGAAACTGAAGTACTGATTTAAATATGGATTGATAGCAATAAAGTAATTTAATTGTGACTGAATTTTCTTGTCCTTTTATTAATATCGGAATGTTCCCTGACTTCATCTGAGTAGTATGGGGCTTTTTTCTTCCCAGTTTGGTATGATTATGTCAGAGTGAGGGATACTTAAGCTTTGCATTTCCATCTGCCTTAGTGAGCTTTTTTTTTTTAAGGGTTAATGCATTTCAAATGCAATATTGGCAGCCTTTATAATCTTAGGGCTGTTTTAATATTTTAATATGTGTTAGAATTCATAGAATAATAGGAATGGTGCTTGGGAGGGCTCTCTGGAGGATCTGTTAGGCTAAACCTGTCCCAGCCTCCAGTTTGAAGCACAACTATCACAAATACTGGATCAGATGAGCTTGGCTTCATTTGCTGAATCCTGGAAGCCTCCAAGGATAGAGGCTTTTCAGCTTGCCCAGATGAGTTAGTTCTGATTTGTGTCTCAGAACACTTGTTCTTGAGGTCCAAAACCAAAATCAGTTTGGGATTTAAAGTTAGGGTTACAGTGCTGGAGTCTTGCTTCCTAAGTTTGGTAGGTACTTAAAAATTAATCAGGAGTTGTAGTTTTCCTTAGTTTTCCTGTGTATATGTACTTTGGTTCTTGGAGACTGGAACATGCTTCCCATCCTACAGTTTGTTTGGCCTTCATGGGTTTGTTTTAGCACCTGAACAGCCTTTATGCATTGCACTGCTGCTGAGCTTGTTCTGTCCTTTTCTGGAACACTTGGTATAGATGGGGCTTCACAGTTGCTTTTCATTTCTCATTGCTGCTGCTTCAGTGCTCTATTAAAATACTGTGTTGCCACATGAGCAAGAATGGGAGAGAGGAGCCCCAGGGGCTTCTGCTTGCTCATCAGGTCTTGGCAAGGAGTTTGGATCTGTTTTGTGCTGAGATAATCACTTGTAGTAACATGTAAGAAAGAAAGACATCTAGTTATTTGATTTTGAGTATATTTTTATTGGGGAAGGAGAAGAATCATTGCACTTTCATCATGCTTTTGTGCTCTTCTGTTTCTGACTTAAGTTTTTGTTGCTGCTTCACCCTATCAGTAATTATCAGGAGCCTTAAAGACTACTGTGAAAGGCATCAGTCTGCAAAGCTCTTAACTTAGACATGCTCACAGGCAGAACTTGTCTGTCCATAATCCACACAGGCCAGCCAATACACTTCAGCTTCTATGAAGAGCATCACCCTAAGCTAGGTTTTGAGTTAACCTCTGAGAGATTGGTCTGAATTATATTGCAAAGTATCACCGTAAGAAAGCAGAACAAGGATTGCAATGTACACGGGGTGGAAAGCTTAGTGTCATCTTCCTGCTGGTTTGGAGTTTACATGCAGGCTTCTTCCAGGGCCCTGCCCATGAAATCCTAGGGCTCTCCAGCCAAATACCAGTGTCACAGGATTTGAGGATGTTTGGTATTTGGCTGGATCAGCTCCTGAGCAAAAAGGTCTTATGTACATGTATAAACTCATGGAGATCATTCCTTTGGAGGTAGAAAACATGCAGTGCTGTACAAATGTGAAGTTTTATTGTGATTTTGAGCATTTCTAGAAATAAATGATAAGAAATAATTATTAATTTATTGTGGTAATGGAAAGGAGCAGGATGTTAATGATTGGATGCCAAAAACACACTGGAAGCTTAAAAGCCAAAAAAAACCCCTGTATGTAGATGTTTAATGAGTGCAATAATTTATAGCAAACACTGGTTATATATGACATATACTGTGCTTATAGAATACATCTATATACACATTTATATAAGACTGAAAAGGCACTAGAATTTCCCAAATAAAACACAAGTGAGTTAATGTAAATCCAAATATGGAGGTTGGGGAATCTGTTTAGGGAGACATGCAAGAAGGGCAACTTTGAAAATCACATGGGAATTGAGAAACCAGTTTCCCACTGAAACCCAGGGAATTCAAAAGTCCGGCTCACATTTGTGTCTTAAAAATCTGGTCAGGTGCCAAATAATGTATGTGGTGTGAGATTAATGAGTCTATAAGGGGATGTACAGTACTGCAGCAAGCTACATAGCATTAAGCTGCTTATGAACCTGGAGGGTTTACTGTGAAATCTGCCAGTCCTGTTCATGCTGCTCTTAAATTGTAGAAATAAATGGGTTTTTACAATACTGAGAATATCAATACATTTCCATGCAAGTACATGCCTTTGAAATCTTGGGAGCTACTTGTGGGAGGAGGGGCCACAGGATTAAGGGAGGGTGGCCAAACCTGGCTTCCAGCCTTTCATCTGCTTTTTCCAGAGTAGTGATCCTTCTAGCTTAGTCTGACCAAAATGTTTATTTGGCAAGACAATGTATTTTTTAATCTCTTGAAAAAAAAACTCACTGGAGAATAATGTGAAGGAAACTTAGTAAAATGAAGCTAAGATGGTATGTGCATGTGGAAATGAGTTGTAAAACTGTCTTATGGGTGGGGGTGTCTTCTAATGATTTTAGCTTTTGTGATTTCATTGCCTTACCCATGGAGTGTAGGCTCTAAGTGCAAGATGAGTAGGTAGTTTTGCAGCTCATAATTTTAGCAGCTGTAAGAAATGCTGAGTATGTTTCCATGACATTTATTTACATAAGAAATTAAAGCAACATCCAGCAGTGTTAAACAACTGCACTATCTGTATCACAAGCCTAATGCATAGAGCATCAGATCAGTCAGTCCAGGGAAGATTTCCTGTAAGGAGATTCAGTTTCATTCTGGAAACACAACTACTTCGATTATCAGAGCAGCTACACTGTGAAAGACAACAGCATCTGTTGTGTGGGGAGTAATGGATTTCTTAATTGTCTGCAAAATCTTGCATTTGAAATCTGATTAATCCAAACCAGTTAGCTTTATTGACATAGGTGGGTAACACAAGGCAGCAGATAAACTGAACAACCTCACCTTCTGAGACACCTTTGGTGCTCCAGCTATTATTGTAAAGGCCCCTGATTCCGTTCATCCAATGTTTGTTTTCCTAATATATTATTACTTCTGGGTGACATATTTTGCCTTTTCCAGATGCAGTGTTTATGCTGACTGGCTGTTTTGCAGAAACTGTGATGCAGAGTTTGGGACTGAAGTCAATGCTGAGTGCCCCCAGCTGTGTCTCCTTGTTCCTGCCCTGGAAGGTGCTGAGCCTGCTTTAAGGACACAGTGGGCTGCAAGGTGCTGGTGGGACAGATGCAGCATGAAAACAGCTGGTCAAGTGTACCTGGGTCTGCAGTGGAGCTGCTGTCCTGTGGTAGAAGTTCTTTTTTACTTCATTCCAAAGTTTTTGGCATGGTATCATCAGTAACTTGTATATAAAGACCTTACAAGTGCTTTGTCACCTGTTAAGCATCTTTCTATTTTGCATTTACTAGAAATGGATTAACTAGACTTTTCCTGGAAGCAAGTGCAATTACCAGTGGCTTTAGCAGTTACAAGAAGTTAGAGTCTGCAACAGGTTCCTCTGGCTGTGCAGACCAGTAACATCCAGACTATATCAGAGAGAAGCAGCTTCTATAGTAGTTTTAGTCTTTTTGGTTGATGAGAAGCTCAACATGAGCCAGCAATATGTTCTTGCAGCCCAGGAAGTCAACTGTATTCAGGGCTGCATCAGAAGAAGTGCAACCTACAGGTCAAGGGAGTTGAGTCTCCCTCTGCTCTCATGAGACCCCACCTGAAGTACTGTGTCCAGTTCTGGACCCCCAACATCATAAGGACATGGAGCTCTTGGAGAAAGTCCAAGAGAAGGGACATGAAGCTAATCAGAGGGCTGGAGCACCTCTCCAGCAAAGACTGGCTGAGAGATTTGGGGTTGTTCAGCCTGAAGAAGGCTCCAAGGAGACTTTACAGCAGCCTTCCAGTACCTGAAGGGCCTACAGGAAAGGTGGGGAAGGACTTTTTACAAAGGTATGTAGTGATAGGACAAGGGATAATGGCTTTAAACTGGAAGACAGTAGATTTAGGTTAGACATTAGGAAGAAATTATTCATTCTGAGGGTGGTGAGACACTGGAAGAGGTTGCCCAGGAAAGTTGTGGCTGCCCCCTCCCTGGAAGTGTTCAAGGCCAGGTTGGATGAGCAACCTGGTCTAGTGGGAGGTGTCCCTGCCCATACAGGGGGGTTGGAACTAGGTGAAGTTAAGATCTCCTCCAACCCAAAACATTCTATTATTTGTAGACATTTACTTGTCCTCACTGGATCATTTTGCAGAGAAACCTGTGTTCTCTCCCAGGAAATTAAAGGGCACAACTCCCACTGGCCCAAGTGAGTATATCCAAGGAAAGCTCCTGTGTTTCCCAGAGCATTTGGTTAGCATTGCAGAAAGTCCAGCTTTTGTTCATTCCTTAGTACAATTTGTATTTTTAAAATAGTCAAAACACCCTGGAAAGTTTTGTCTTAAATAAGATCACTATAAAGCACAAATCTGAAAGTATTCCTTTCCTATGTGGAGCTGTCAGTGCAGTTCTGCTAGGGCAGCATGTATTTAGCAGTGTGAAAAAGCTTTAACCAGCAATAACCTTGCCAAAGTCTTTCCTGTTACTGGATATTTTGTTTTTTAATGACCATTTCTGACCTCATCCTGCAAACATGCAAGTATTTGCATATTCTTTGTGTTCACTAGTATTGAGTCTGCTGAGTTGAGAGATGGATGGATACACTCAGGTGCTTAGAGAATTAGGCTCTTGGGGGCACAAAATGGAAGATGCACCATAAATAAGCAGCTGGCAATTAGAGTCACTTGTTAAAATAGTTTGCAGTGGCCTGTGAGGCACAAGAAGGAACGTAGCACAGCTTTAAATAAGTGTAACATTTTAGACTGTATGTCCTGTACTTTGCTGACGTGTGAAACTTGCACAATTATTTATGCCACAGATGAGTTGCCTCTAATAAAAAAAAAATCCTGAAGAAAAAAAACCCATCAACAATCTTCTGTCCAGTTAAAACAATTCCCTGTTTTCTTTCTCTTAGCCTATCAGGTGGTACCTCCACCTGATGTCACAACGCTCTGCGACTCACAGAAGTTGGGTGTGTTTATGAAAAAATGGACCAGTATATCAAATTGAATAGGATGTAGGCACCAGGGAATATGATCCTGGAGTACTTGTCGATGGCGTGGGTGTCGATCCGCATGCTGACGTATCTCTGGCTTTTCCTCCGGGCCGAGCCCCTCTCCGCCCCCAGCGCCAGCTGCACCATCATCCGTTCCTGCTTCTCGCCGTTCTCAGGCACGTAGTGCCCCAGCTCGCTCATCTCCCCGTCGTTGTAGCTGCCGTCCATCATCATGGGGCGGGGCTGAGGGAGGCTGCAGGCACAGGGGGGCTGTGGGCACAGGAAGGGGCAGGATGGGTTTGACTCGTGTCCAGATCCACGCAGACATCCCTTAAGGGATGGGAGGAGAGACCTTACAAAAGCAGAGGAAGGGGACAAGCCTGGGGAATTCAGGCTGCTGGGACACAAGGAGAGTGAGAGGTTGGAGCTGGGCAGCAGCTTTTTGTTCCTCCATTTGCATGTCTGCCAGACAGCCCAGTTAGGGAGAGAGTGGGACTGTCTGTGGAAAAGCTCATTTGGCTTAAGTGGGGCTATTGGTGTAAATAAAGGTTAGACCTGTACCTTGAGGAGAGACAATCAATGAAGAGGGCAGAGGGGATCTGAAAGAAGGAATGTATCAAGCTGGCCCCACTTGAAAAGAAGAGTTTAGGCTGAAATGTTGGATGATCATAATTTGATGTAACAAGGGCAGAAGGGGGAAGTTTGGACCATTGCGTTTAAACGGTGCCTGGAGAAAAGTGGAGGAAATCTGCCATGTTATCTGAAACCCAAAGCACAGAATCATCTGGTGCTATTCACAGGCTGGGATCCTCAGCACTAAAAAAAAATTAAAAAGATAAAAATCCCAAAGCCTATCCCATTTATACAGGCAGTGGGGGGCTACGTGAGGAGGGACAGAGTGCCCAGCAGGGAGCTGGCTGTGGGGTGTCTGTAGCCAATCTTTACAACACAGGCTGCCTCTCTGCTGGTGTCTTCTTGCACCCACTACATTCTCCCCAGGCAGCTGAGAGCAGCATGCCGTAGCTGCAAACTTTTGAACATTTCCAAACATTTGTCATACCTTTTCCCAGGGGCATAAAGCTGCACTGGAGATAGAAAACCTCACCTTGTCCCGGAGCTTCCTTTCCTTGCGCTCCTGCACCGTGGTCAGGTAATTCACGGCCGCGTATTCCAGCACCGAGAGGAAGACAAACACAAAACTGACCCACAGGTAAATGTCCACTGCTTTGATGTAGGAAACACGGGGCATGGAGGCATTCACCCCTGTGATGATCGTGGACATGGTCAGCACGGTGGTTATTCCTAGGAACACAGCAGCAGAGGGACTGTCAGACACTTTCAAACCAGAGCGTTCATCACAAATACAGCTGGACTCAATAAACTGGAACTTTGTCAGAGCTGCTAATACTGATTTTCACCTTTTTTGCTCACTGAAGTCCCTGAAGGATACTGACACTTTGGCTCTTACTGTGCTGTCTCTTTTAATAGCCTTAAAAGCAGAGAGGGGCGTTTGCTCCCTGGTTTGCACTGCATGCAGCTACTGCTTGTGCAGGCAGGGAGATCAATTCACTTGGCACTGCAGGGCAGGGGGGTAGTTTGTAACATGGCCAGTCCCTGCATGAGAGACGTGTGGCATAGCTGATTGCTGTGCCAGAGGGCAAGGCTGGGGCAGGACATTGCACAGGGGAGTTTGTCTTGATGGTCAAGGCCAGTAATTGCAGTAATTGTCTCTGAGACCTCTTGTCTACAAGACAAACCTAAACCTTTTTACCTAAAGGGACTCTGGCAGGAACCGCTCGGCGATCGATCCAGAAGGACACCCAGGACAACATGACCATGAGGGTGGCAGGAAAGTAGGTTTGGAGCAAGAAGAAGAAGATGTGTCGACGTAAAGTGAAGTTTATGTAGAGGCGATTGTACCACCCTGTGTAAGAGAGAGAAGGGAAAAGAGAAGTCACACCAACGTTGAACTACTTTCAGGTAAGATGTTGTTGCATCAGGGGAACAGCACCTCATTTGCTTTTAGAAACACACATTGAAGTTTCCAGAAAAGACTCTTTACTGCACCAACCATCAAGTATCTGAGGACCCCACCTTCTAAAGAAGACAATATAAGCTGTGCACCTGGAGAGTTTAACTCATGCTAGGGCTGGGTGTGGTCTTGAAGAGGGATTGCCTTTCAAGACTGCAAGACTACATAACCTTCAAGAGGGAATTCTGTGTCAGGGACAGCAGGCTTGGCATGGAAGAGAGGCAGATCTGATGTGCCACAGGGAGACCTCCCGAAGAACAATCTTCCATGGCCAAGGCCTAAAGGGACAGTTTGCACCACTTTCACCAGCAGACTCTCTGGCAAGCACCCTGATACCTACCTGTGCTGCTGTAAAAGGCAAGCTTTGTGGTGGTGTGAAACTCCTGGATCAGGAACTGGGAGAGCGATATCCTCTCATCTGTTTTTAGGGATTCATTACCATTCTTCCAGTAGAGCATGAGGTCATCTTCAGTGTAGGCATCTAGGGGAGCAGAGCAGTGCCCTGAGTCATCCTGCCCACAGCCCAGGGTGTTCCCACACTCCTTCCAGGTTACCTATGAGGTCCCAGCTGAAAAGGCCAAATGTCACCACCCGGCTGAGAGCCTCAGTGACAGGGAGCATGACCCATGGCAAGGAGGGGACTAGCTCATTGTCAGAGCCCTCAGACCTAATGCCCAGTGTGTTTTGCAAACCCTTTTGTTTCTCTAGTCACAATCTCACACACATAATATGTGTCAGGTAACCTACCACATCAGAACTTGAAAAACTGTCCCTTATAATTGTCCTAAAAACAGAAGCAAAAGAAAGGAAACTTGGAGGGAAGAACCTACTTGGGGTAATGGGAGGAACAGGCTGAGGCAGCAGGAGGTGTGTGGAAGGATAAACTCTTGGGTAAATTTTCTGCCTGTGATGCATGTTTTTGTTGTGTTGGTTTTTTTTGTTTTTTTTCTTTTAACATATGTGGAAATATAGTAAAGTTAAGCCTTTCAGATAGGGAGTAGTAAAAACTCTTCCTAGAGACAGAGAAGAAAAAAAGAAATCACACCACTGGTGTTTAAAAATACTGCATTGTTGCAAACATCATCTACTTCTAGTCAAAAAATACGGGCAGGGAGTTTTTCTTAGTGTTGAAGTCTGGTGACTTTGGTTAGAGCTCCCATGAATATAGCAGCAGTTTCATTATTGGTATAGTTATTTACATAATTTTAAAAGTTTGGGTCCCCATGAGGTGCAGCCCTTGGCTCCCCTATGTGTCTTCTTTACTTACAGCTTTCAATCTCCAGGGAACAAGTCTGTGTGTCCAGGGGAAAGCGACTAAAATCCATGTTGCACATTGCTGTTACTGTAACTCTAGGAATAATAAAGACCACTCCATTAAACACTTGTCTTCTTATGTGACTGAAAAACAGTAAAGCTGCAGGTTTCATTTTTTATTAAGTAGCTATCTGGACAGTAAACATCCACTGAAAATAAATATCTTCCATTCAGCTAAAGCAATTCCACTTAACTTAAAGCCTTTTCTTCTCAGCAAACTTGTGTTAGAAAGACAACTGGAATCTTAGGCCACCACAAATTGCTATTAGATGACAAAAATAATAGACAAGGAAATGGGAAAGAGCAGTGAGGACACTTTTTCCTCTTTGACTATCAGCAAATGTCTCTTTGCAGAGATCTGTGCTTTCAAAAGGTGCTTTGTAAGATGAAGTGTTTTACATTGATCAAAACCATCCTAGTACCGTGAGGGAAGCAGGTAATTTCTCCACACACGGCGAATTTCCAGCTGCTCAATGAGAGCCCAGTGATCACACCTGGCTACCAGCCACCAGAGGGCACAGGCAGTGCCTCAAGCGAGGGCTGGAGCTGGAGCACGACAGAAACCACTGAAATGCTCTGCCCCATCAATCGAAAGCTCTGGTTATGCTGTAACCCGATTATCTCATGTTTAATAGCAAAACTTTGTGATTGCACTGGAAGCATCTATAAATCTTGACACAACTGGCTCGAACTCTGGGTAAGTAAATTAAAAGTATAAATCGTAATGGGGAAAGAATTAATGAATTACAGCAGGGCTAATGGTAGACAGCCATCTGTCACATAATGATAAAAACACAATGCAATCCCTCCTGTCAGTCCTTCTGCATTTGCAGGTTCCTGCT